GAAGGAAGGAAGGAAGGAAGGAAGGAAGGAAGGAAGGAAGGAAGGAAAAAAGGAAGGAAAAAAGGAAGGAAAAAAGGAAGGAAAAAAGGAAGGAAGAAAGGAAAGAGTGAAGAAAGAAGGTTTTAAGTTGGATTTGACTGGAAGAACCAGCTTCCCTTTTCCGATTCCCCCAGACTAGTGTGATGGCCGGTTGGAGGAAGGTCCAACTGTGTTTTCAAATGCTGATTTCAGTGCCTTGAGATCTGGTTATCACCTTGCCTTGGGCATTGTTACTTATGTTGAACTATCTCCTGTAACCATGGGATGATAAGGAATGCTCCCCAGTTAGCTCTAATTGGGTAAATAAAGATGCTGATGCCTGTGACTGGGCAGAAGAGAGGCAGGCGGAGTTTGAGGTTCCTGGGCTTGGGTTCAAGAGAGGACAGGAGAGGAAGGTAGAAGAACAGCAGGAGGAGTGAAAGCCAGAGAAAGGGGAGTGGAGAAAAGGCAAGATGCTGATGAGCATGTGGCTGTAGGAACAGGCTGATGGCACAGAAGCCACCCTGGGAGTGCTCAGATTGGCAAGTGATTGGTTTTTAATGTGGGTTTTAAAGGTACTAGGATTAGAGTAGCTCAGAATCTGCCCAGCACAGTGCTTGCTTACAGCTTAAAAATAAACCATAGTCTCTCTGTGTCAGTCACTGGGGAAACTAGCTGGTTAAAGAAAACTAATGCCCAAAGAATAATTCTTCTTTCTACACCAGCCTGAACTTCCAAGACCATAAGGACCCTGTAGACCTGTCCAGCTCAATAACCAGGCTCTACAGAGGGTGGGACCAGACCCCCGCTGCTTGTTCGCCCTCATGCATTGGCTAGAACAACCTTTTCGATGGTTTGAGTGGAAAATGCCCCTCATTGGCTCAGACATTTGAACACGTGGTCCCTAGTTGGTGAGGCTGCTTGGTGAGGTGGTGCCGCCTTGTTGGCGGAAGGACTGGGGGGGGGGGTTGGCTTTAAAAGTTTCTAGCCTGTTTTCACTTGCTGTTGAAGATGTAATCTCTCTGCCCCCTATTCCAGCCCCTTGCTGCCAAGCTCAACACTTCCATAGTTGTCTTGGTGTTGGTGTCTTAGCACAACAACAGAAAAGTGAAAATACAAACCCCAAATAATTCTGTCCCCTGGTGTCTTGGCCCTCACAGTGGGTCCACAAAGACCCACTCCATCACCTGCCATTCTCCATTGAATCTCTCTCCCACCACCTCTAACCTCTGCCAAAAGCCCGTCCCCAAGGACCTGCCACATGCCATCTCCCAGTGACCCAGAGAACTTCTGGGTGCTGACCACATAGAATGCAGAGACCGAAGGGAAGCCCCACCCCCATCCCTCTCCCACTCCTCTCTCTCCCCACCCACCAGCACAGAGGCTCTCCTGTACCTCTGGTATCTCACGAAATAGGTCACGTTTGGGGGGCTACCAAGCCCTGGGAGCCAGGTCAGGTACACAGTGAAGTTCTGGGAAAGCAGAGTCACATTTCTGGGTGGGGCTAGGCGGGGCCTTCCTGTGGGAGAGAAAGAGGTCACGAAGCCTGGAGCATGACAGGTGTTCAGTTCCTTGGCACCTGTGAGGAGCCAGCATCTGCCAGCTGCTGTATTCAACCCCTTCCTTTCCCCAGCCCTCAGCGTCCCATCGTGCCATGAGAGCAGGTTCTAGGAACTCTGGAACCAGAGGGCATGGGCGTGGTAACATTCCCTCCTGCTGGGATCCTAGCTTATCTGTGGCTTCCCAGAACAGCTGTGTCCGCCCTCTGCCCAAAGCCAAGGATTAAAATGAAAGTTACCCCATGTCTGCGTCCTGCTTAACTCTCTCAAGGTTTCCATCTTTCCTACTCCAAAGCCTGTACTGGAACCCCCAAGAAGCTCCCCCGTGTGACCCACCCTTCTCCCTCTTCCGCCTCCTTTCCAGCCGTGCAGGCTGGTGCACCCCAGCACCGGGAGCACCCCAGTTTGTTCCCTGCTCTGAGCCATTGCACATGGTCTTCCCAACATCTGGACATCCCCTTGGCTTCCTTCACGTTCCTTTGATGGCGCTGTCTCTCGTGACATGTTCCCTGGCTACCTTTTATTGGTCTCCATCTAGCTCCTCTTCCACAGATAGCCAGTTATACCACTAATCACCTCAGCTGACTGGTTCCTGCCCGGCCTTCCTGCCCTTCCCTGCCTTTAGAATAAAGTTCATACTCCTCATCCGGGTACTGAGGACTCCATCTGGGTGGCCTGGCCACGTGGCTGAAGTCTCCAGCTCACAGCCTCACAAAGCTGCGGGTACCATCGTTTAGACGTCTTTGAACCTTGGTGTGTTGGGTGGCCTGGAGGTCACCATCTAACCTTTGAAAGATTCTAGTCGAAGGCCACCTTCTCCAGGTAGCCTGCCTGCCTCGAGGTCTCTAAGAGGAGACGCTGATGGCGACCCTTCGTATTGGGTTGTAATTTCCCATTAGCTGAGCCAAGTGCTTTGTGAGTGTTCTAGAAGCTTCCCGGGTCAGGTGGGGAAACCAAGGTCCCCTCAATACTAGATCAAGTCAAGTCTCAGGTCAGAGCTCTGGGCTTGCCTCCTCTTCCAGTTTCTCCTGGGGCACAGTCTCAGTCTGTCTATAGATCTTTATCTTTTTTTTTTTTTTTTTTTAACCATTTTGTTTTGTTTTGGAGACAGGGTGTCTCTGTATAGGCCTGGTCATCCCGGAACTTGTTCTGTAGACCAGGCTGGCTTCAAACTCAGAGATCTGCAGGCCTCTACTTCCAGAGCGCTGGGACCAAGGGTACCAACACTTTTCACAGTTATTCATTGTGTGTGAGCACATGCTATGGCGTGCGCGCAGAGGTCAAAGGACAACTGGCAGAAGCTGATTCTTTCCATCCACCGTGCAGATTCTGGCAACAGAACATCAAGGACCTTTCCCCTCTGAGCCACCTTGCCAGACCCCCTTCTGCCTCCGTTGGAGACAACGCTCCCTCTGTATCCCAGGCTAGCTCAAGTCTGTGGTGGTCGTCTTGACTCAGCACCTTCCGTACTACAGTCTATAAGCATGAGCAACCTCATCTGTTGGCCACTTTCAACTCAATTCCTATGCCCCTCCGCAGGCTCCATAGGCTCCATCTCCTACCCCACGGGAGCTCACAGTCACATCCGCTGGTCACCGCTGGTCACCGTGGAGACCCGGCTCTGCGTAGCTCAACCCCAGCCTGCGCTGCCTCCTTGCCCCAGGCATTCCAGACCCGGGTGTGGGTGCTATTTCTATCCTTTCCTGAAGAGAGTCACCAAGATGCTGCCACTGTCTTTAAATCGGGCTCCTAGTCGGCCAGGCAGGGACCTCGCGGGTTCCCGAGACACTGGGCTTAGAGACAAATGTAAACAAAGCCTGTTTGTGTTGGGGATAGCCAGCCCAAGATCCTCATTAACTCAAAACACAGCCACAGGGCTGTGACGGTGCCCAGGGAACGCAAAGCGCTGAGCACCCACGGCTCAGCCTTATTCTTCCACTCTGTGTGACCCCCCCGTCTGGGGTTCTTCTTCAGTGCTCTGAGCCTCAGTTCCCCTCACCTGAAAATGATGGCCATCCGCCTCATAGGACAGCTGGACTGAAAACCTTAACGAGAACACGGTGGCCGCACGAAGAAGCAACCAAAACCGATACAATTGTTTACTTAGTCTAAGAACCCTTTTGACTGTGAGTCTAAGACCCTGAGGCACGCCCACGGCCACCTAGAGGGGTTCTCCCCCCTGGGGCAGTTGATCAGCGAAAGCTGGGGTTCCGTGCTCGGGTCCTGGCCTTCGGGACTTTGCGCCCCGCTGTCTCGGTTACCAGGCGAGACGAGGCTCACCTGTTAGGAATCTCCTAACAAGGACCGGATTATCCAGAGCCAGTTTCCGGGAAGGGGAGGGCAGCTCCCGTGAATTCCCTGCTTATGAGGGTCAATCAGGTGTGCACTCCCCGACGCCCCCGCCTCGGTCTCGGGGGCAGGGGGCGGGGAGCTATCTGGAGCTGCCTGGAGTAAGGAAACGCAGAGCTTTCCTTCCGCCCGGGTTCTGGCACCCAGCCAACCCGCGGAGGGTGCCTAGGGTCCCCGAGGCCCAGCACCGCGGCCCCTCCCAGGACCTCCCGCCGCCCCCGCGGCCCGTGCTTACCTGCGGCGCTCTGCAGCAGGCACAGGAGCAGGGGCGCCCACCGGCCGACCCACCACATCTCGGTCCCGGGGCCCCCCGGCGCCCGGCGCCCGGCTCCAGGCCCTGGGGCCCCAGGTGACCCGGGCGGCGCCCAGGGAGGCGGAGCCTCGGGCGGTGCCACCCGCGGGGATTCACCTGGGGCCACCCCGCGTCGCCCGCCGGAGGTGGGGGCGGGGCGCACGCCACCTTCTCTGCGCTTCGGGCGAGCGACCCAGTCCCGGGGCTCCGAGGAGGACTCAGGCGTCAGCGCCCAGGGCGGAGGTCGAGGTCACCCGCAGGTCTCCGGCTTCGCGGGCGGAGGCGGGGAAGGCAGCCGGCGCCACCCGCGGGTTCCCCAGCCGAGTTTCTGCAGGGATTCCGCGCCGGCTGCCGGCCGCCCGCCAGCTCGGTTCCAGCCGCTGGGAGGAGGCTCTCCCCCAGAGCCACAGCGCGGGCTGTGCAGCCGCCCGCCAGCAAGGACGTCTCTCAAGGCTTTGTCTTCGCTCCTCGAACAGGGGACGTTTCATTCCAGGACACAGAATGTTCTAACTAGCCAAGCGGGAGAGGCTGGTTTTGCAAACGGAGAAGCGCGGAAGGGAAAGCCGGTTCTTTCACAGCTACTCTCCCTATAGGTGGAGGTTAGGGTTAGGGACAGGAACATGGGGTCCTTTTGAGTGAGGATTAAGGGTACAGGGTTTTATTTTATACCTTCTGCCTGGAGGAGTGGGAATAGGGAGTTGGGGTCTTGATATCACCAAGATTCATTGACAGGTATATGGAATTGTTAAAGAATGCATACAAGATAGAGAAACAACAAAAGCCTCGTCTTTGGGAAAGCAGGCCATTAGCTCAGGTTTCTCTCCATTTCCAGAAGGTCACTGAACGGCCTAGTTTTTGTCTGGGGGCCAAAATTTAACGTGAGTGGATCTATTCTGATTATTTATTTATTTATTTATTTATTTATTTATTTATTTATTTATTTA